GGGTGCTTTTTGTTTTTATGAATATCTCAAAAACAAAAAATCTGAAGAAACCCACTTTTTCCTAGAACAGCCCCCATTTAAATAATCATTTTCTGATTCTTAACTCATTAAAGTACCAACTGATGAATCATTTGCTACATCTATTAATTCATTGCTAGTTGAATATTTATTTGAAAAATAAAAATTTTGTGTTAATTATTTTCATACAGCATATTGGCATAACGTATGGCATATGGCACAGCAGCATTTACGTTTGCATATGGCACATGGCATAACGTATGGCATACGGTGGTTATGTTTTCATACGGCACAACATATGACACATATGGCATACGGCACAAAATACAGCATACGGCCATTCGGCATTTAGCTGCAAGGGTTAGAACCTTTTCACGTCATATAGGTGTCGTAACAATAGGTTACAACTCGGCAATATGTTTGCACCCTTAGTAAAAATAGTAAAAGAATTCCTTATGAATCACGCCAACAACATTTTACTACATACTCTAACCTTCAAGAATTTGTCAATGCTAAAGAAGTTATTTGCAATGTAGTCGGATTATTTTCACTTGGAGTCAATTATCAAGTTGTAAAGTTTAAAAGACTGAGAGTAATAATAGGATTTATCTTTCGGTATCACAATAGTATTTTTCATGTGAAAATTTGACAAGAGGAGAGACATTACAATTCATATTACACCACGAAAAGTAGTTTTTTCTTTGGAATACGTTTTTACTCTGATATTAATATTAATCCTTGTTAATCGCAGTAGATGATGAAAAACTTTAATTTATACTCATTATGGTCAAGTACACAAAACTTCCTTTTAATAAATTTCACATGTCCTCGGCTATTTCGATTCGCACTATTAATAATAATAATGTGTCATTTAATTTACAATGGTTTTATAACATAACTTTTAACATGTAATAATATAATTTTTTTTCGTAATAATAACTTCACTTGGTAATATTGTAACGAACAATCATATAATAAAATCGTTGTATTTTAATTAATTAATTAATTAATTATTGAATTAACTGTTGGCTAATCAACTGTATCCAATAATGTATTTTTATTATAATCCTTATTTTTTAAATATTAATATATCATCACCATGTTCCTCCTTTTACCAGCTCCATCTTTTCAATGATAACAAGTTTTGTTCTTTTCTCTTTTACCAACTGTGTCGAAAGCAAAATTATTTTTATACGATTAAATTTGTCAGCCCACGACTTTTTCACCAGAAAGTACTTAAGCAGCTACTAGAAGCCTCTCCATAATTCAAGATTTTGTAATGAATTTCTAGCACCATCAATCTCGATATTATTTGACTGGTAATTGTTATTGTCATTGCCACTTTCCATATGATCAGGTTCTTCTGGTACTTCAATAGATTCGATCATATTCCATACCATTAAATTGTGACTTGCGCAAAGAGCCAAAGGACCTTTATCATGTTGTTAGAGTATTTCCGCGATATTGTAACCTTGTTCTTTTAGTACTGTTACCTGTTTAGAAAACATCCCATTAGCATCTAAAGAAAAAAGTTGATGTAACTCATGTATTGTCTCTTCCACCATTTGTTATTGAAAGAAAATGTTTTCAGTGAATGGAGTTCCTACAAGGGACTCAGAAAGAAATAACCAACCATATGGGCAGAAACGCCATTGATCAGGATGTTTAAACGGGAATGGCAATCCGTTGTCAATGGCAGCTACATGGATATGCGGATAAACAATTTTTGATAAACGGCCAGAAGAACGACATGTGGTATTAATGTTTGTTGTAGTAATAGTTTGTTTTAATTTGACTTTGTTGTAATAATCATTTATCATTTTTTGATAGGCTTGATGATGGTAGTTGAAGCAGATCTGATTTAATAAAAATATTTGAATTATGTGGCGCTTGTAGCTCTGAAGAAGAAGAAGGCATTTGAACACTTTTAAATAAAGATGATTTTGATTCAGATTTTTTTTTATTCAGTAATAATCTATATTTTGATAAATCCTTTGGAACATACATTTATAACACATTTTTATCACAATACTTGATCATCCAATTATTAATCCTTGATCTTAAAATGTGTGTGAGAATTATTTATGATATTATTACAAAAAGTATAATAAAATACATGTTCTTGACCTAAAAAAATAAATCAAAGTAGGTGCTGTTTAATTACCGATGTTTCTCCAAAATTACTAATTTTCCAAATTGTTCTCTGAATTGAATTTGAAGTGATTTAGTCCAAACAAATTTTTTTTATTATGGCCACTACCAATAACATCACTATCACCATCATTATTATTATGATCATCTTCTTCTTCTAACATAACTTTGCTACTATTATTTCTATTATTTCTAATCGAATTGTCAGATTTGGGTAGACCGTGGATGTTCCTTTAAAAATATATTAGCATCTTTATAACCACTTAAAAATACTTGAAAGTTTCAGGTAATGCGTGTCACAGTAATACATCCAAATAATTGGTCTTCTTAAAATTGACATGAGTTAAATTTTCATGTAACTTTTGAAAAAAAAAATCAACGTAAATCAATTATTCTAGTTAAAAGCTATTGAACTATGTTGGAATTTTGACATGCATGTCAGATTTAAAGTTTGATGTATTATAAAAATTTTGAAATTGATCCCTCATAATTCTGGCCAATTTTGTTTAATGCCAGCCCAAATTATGAAGTAGATGCACAAATATTTCTGTCACGTGTCATCTGCGGGTCTATAAATGAAAATTTAACCCTCTCTCTATATAAGAAGTGGATGTATTACTGTGACACATACTGTAGTCATAGTGAAACGAAGGAGATGAAAGCCATACCACCTCTGTTTTTGGAACAATGTTTAATTGTAGCTGGTGAACAAGTGGTGAGGTAGCAGCTTCTGAAATATAGTCAAGATTAGGAATCGAATTATAAAATGCATAATTAACGATTCTTGTAAAATAGAATGAATGAAAAAAAGCATGCCAGCTTCTACAAAAGAAATAAGAGAATAGATTTCTATGAATCCATTCTGTCCATTTAGTATTCAATTGACCATATTGTTCTTCATTTTCAGGTTTAAAGTACCTACCACATTATTATCTTTATCATGACAAAAATATGAACCGGAAGAACCTTGCCTGATTCTAGTTGATTAATACCAATCAACAATTACAATAAGATCTTCACGAGTCATAGGCGGCTCATTATTCAGTGTAAGAGTTGGTCCATTCGACTAACAATTAATTATCGCTGCCATTATAATCGAGAATTAAGGATTAAATAGCCGTCCGCCGAATCAGCTCGAAGCCTTAACAACAAAGCAACCTCGAAGGTCATTCTGCGCTTGATGGGGCTAGTTCCAGGTTGGCTCGAAGCCTTGAACGACAAACAAGCTCGAAGGTCACCTGCGCTCCCAACACTATTTTGCCCATTTCTCGCATTTCAACAAAAAGCTAACTATATTGGTGATACAAATCAGACATTCATAATAGGTATTAGTATGAAACAGATTTACAAATTTCCTTAAATTTCTTGGAGAACTGTCACCAGGCATTACTATGACGACTAAAATCTATATTTTGATTATTGTTGTTATTTATTCTGTAAGCAGGATAGAAAATTCAATAAATAGTTGTCTTGTTTCTGAAAGAGCATGTCTTCCGAAAGTAGGCTTAGGATTTTTATTATTAATATTAATATCTTTATTGTACTGATTATTTTGTGGTAAGAATTGTTGTGACTTTCAGATAAATATTGTTCTTCTTCAAAAGTAAGTATGATATTGTTGTCATCTTATTCCAATTTAACATAATTTGAAAATTTTGAATTAAACACTTTGATAAAAAAAATTATTATTATAATTGGTTTTAATGACGATAATGAATGACGCGTATATTAAAATTTTAAAAAAAAATTTTCAATTTAGACATGATGTGTAAAACTAGATTTATGTAACAAATAAATTTGTTTCTTTTTGAACAAAATTTTTTTTAGTCTAAATTTCTCATACGATATCTATTCTCTCTCTGTGTGTATATATATATGGTAACAAATATAATATACATTTTATTATTATTTGCAAATATCTTTAAACTCATATTTATTATAGAAGAAAAGCGTAATAAGGAATGAAATGTTTTCTTCAACATTACTAATGTTAATTTACTCGAATGTTTTTCCAGTAAATAATTATTTATTGGAAAAACAATTATCATTTTCTTATTGATCCGTAATATTAATATACTAAGGTAGGCGAGGGTTTTTTTATAGAATCATAGAATTTAATAAAAAGAACATTTAATCCTTCTTATTAAAATATAATTAGATGCTGGAAGCTGTAGTTCACACTCTCACCCACTATAACAGACCTTATACAGTGACTATAGAATAAATCACACTATAACGAACGCCAATTCAATTTTTTTTATAACTAAAATATTCCTCTCTCTATAGTGAACATTTTATAAAATCTTTCTATAACAGAGGCACAAAAAATATATACAAAATGAGAGTTCATTATAATGAGAGTGTGTGTTAACTGTATCCATCCAACCAATTGAGATTTATTTATTATCCATAATTTGCTATGATAAACGATGATATTAATTGAATTGAGTGTAAATATCCAAACATCATCTAATTTATTTAATTATTCCAAAATTTTTTTAGAATCTATTAAAAAACCAATCGATTTGTATTAGATTTCGTTATTAGAAAATAATTAATATGCTTGTAAAGGATCCCTGAAAGTACGAATCCGGGGCATAATAAATAATGCTCACAAATCATTGTATAATTTTAGGGTATAATTAAATTGTGCTCAAAAAAAAGAGTGGCGTGGGTTAATTTTTGATCAGTTTGTTTGGTCAGTTGGATGGATGAATTGTTGGTTAAATTAAAAATCAAAATGATGGGAAAATTTAAATGTTTTTTTAGAATTATTTATTTAACATGTGAATTTTATTTTTAGTTCTTGAAGAAGATTATAACACGTTTTTTACACGAGTAGAATATATTATTATTACTATTTATCACCATTACTAACAATTAATTAATTAATAATAATTTATATTCTATTTTATTTTTTTAAACAATCCAGAACAATATTAATAAATTCATTCAATAAACTAAATACAAAATAACCACGGGTAGCAATGCTTTAAAGTGTCTAGCTAGAAAGATAAGTAATGTATTACAGAATTTATATTCATGCAAGTGAAGGAACGTGCAACTTGTATATTTGTATATAATTTGTTTGCGTGAATAATATTTTAGCTAGGAAGAAAGAGGAACGAGGGAGAAGACGAGGATGAAGATCGAAGAAGAAAAAACAAAGAGTGATATATATATATATACATACATGTATTTATATTTATAAATAAATATTTTGTTTTAACCACCATAATTTAAATAAATAATTCGACTTGAATAAAACTTTTTCCCGCCAATTTATAAAGATTTGCATAAAATTTATTTATATTTTTATTTATTTCTAAATAAAGTATTTTACCTTGTGTAAAAATTAAAAATTAAATAAAAAATGGAAGAATTTGAGAAAGAAGTTTGAAAGATGGATACATAGTATTTATAGGTTTTCTAAAAAAAGGAAAATATTAATAATTGATCTACAAAATTATTCCTCGTATTTTTTAATAGAAATTAGGGGAGGTAAAAAAAAGCAACGTAAATATTATGTATGTCATTCATTCGTTATTCTTACCGATTATAATATACAATAATAATAGATTGGAGTGATCGATCATTCATTAGAATTAACGATTAGGAAATGATTTGTGAATGAATAACTATTATAGGCAAAATAAACATTTTTAATATGTACGCGTGTAGTTTTTTGAGAATCAATCACCAATAGGTTAGAAAAACACCCCTAAATTTTATTACTAGAACAAGTTTTTATATATTAATTATATAAAATTTAAAGGAGGGGAGGAAAATTAGCGCAAGTACCAGCACATTAAATTATTAATTGATTGATTTGACATTGTCAACACTAAAATAAGCATTATTTTTTTTTCTTGATTTACAAGTTTATTAGATTTCCCTATATATATAATATATATATGTATATATTAGACGCACATATATAAAGCTTCTTAAAAATAAAAAATAACATAAAATAAAAATTTTTTTTATTTTTTCTTACTAGGGAAAAAAACACACTTCTTACCTAATAATTAATTTACTATTACCCATTGTTATTATTACTTAAAAATTCCAACAATGTATTATAAATAAATAAATAAATAAATATATATGTATTTATTTATTTATTTATTTATTTATTTATTTTTAATAAATCATTAAACATTTTTTAATATTAAAAAAAATTTTTTAGCACGAGCACGTATATAATGGACAAAAAAAGCGTGTCGATTTCATAATACATTTTAGTATATGTTCGTTGATTTTCTACTTTTTGCTGCGCATCATTAGTAATTTTTTTTATACTTTTTTTAGTAAGATTAATTGATTGGCTAAGGATGAAGGGAAGAATGAAGAAATCGTAGAATCTTGGTAGTAGTAGATAATAAACATTCAAATTACTACTACTGCCACTGCCACTGCCACTACCACTATTATTATCTTTATTCTATTCTATCATTATCTTTCATTGTTTGGAAAAACATTAATGACAAACAAAAGGTGGCTTTGACTTTTTAAAAATTTGTACGTTTTAAAATTAAAAAAATTTTTCCTCGTTTAACACCGAAGGTTGTCGAAAAGAAAATTTTTTATGCATATAATTAATTAATATCAGGTATATAGTCTCATTGATTACTTATCTTTCTTTTTATTTATGATTGTGGTAATAGTG